TGGGGTCAGACAGCTCTGGATTTCTAGCTCTGCAACTTACTAGGTGGTATTTAGTCTTGATTCTTCACCCACTTCTAGTAATATCATACATCCCAGCTTGTGTGTGCTCTAGTGTATAGGTGACTGCACTGTTACTTTTCTAGACCCCTACCTATGGGATTGCCCATGTGACATGCTCAGCCTGAGAAGCTATGCCCCAGGCAGCCACTGAGTCTCCTGTGTGTCCTCATCTGGAAATTACCCCTGCTGCCTTACAGATATCTCAGTGAGATATCAGCACTTTCTGTTGTGTCTTTGAAGTTCCGACTAATTTCCAAAATTAAAGCAAGGACAAGCCACATTCTCTTATCTGTAAGAGGAGAAGAATGATAGCCCTTGTTTATTGGTGAAGCTGTGAGGACTCAGCCGTAACATCATGAAGTAAACCTTTATCCAGTTCCATTATTAAGGAATTGATAAGAGTGTCAGGATCTACATTAAAATTTTCAATAGTTTCAAAGAAAATAATGAAATTATGATGATATTCCTTCTGTTGGGAAAATATCCCAATAAGCAAGTTCTAAGGAATGACATATATGTGTTTCTAAATTTGAGTCTGGATGTCATTTAATGATCTAAAGTGGGTGGGGAAGATAAAGGGGATGGATTGCATGAATAGGCACTCCATGTTTGCCTGCCTTGTTTTCCATAAGCTAGGGTAATCTTAACCTTCCTTTGGATTTATTAAAATAAAGTCAACAGCCAATGAGAGAAGAATGTGGAAAATGTACATCTTCTATGATGAATCTTGTGATATTTAAAAACAGATCTATAAGATGATAGCAAGTAGATCTATTGCTATTTTTTGAGCTGATTATTAATATTGGCGTCTAAAAGTAATACTTTCACTCTAAGTTCTTTATAAAATGCTGATAAGCCTTTCATGACATCATTAGTCTGCTTTAACCTACTTTATCTGGTAACTCTAGGTCAAAAATCTGGTCCATTGACTTTTTTTTTTCTGATAAGTAAACCATAACCTAAAGTGTTCCACAATTATAATAGTTACTGAGCATTTATTCTAAAAACAAACCACACATATAACAGCAGGTTGGCAGCAAGCCAGCTTATTAATAGCTAGTGGGGTGCTGATAAGCCAACTCTGAGGGAAGAAAAGCCCTAAGAGTGCTTGCTAATTTCTGTGGTATAAATATTTCCTCTGTGACTGATTTCAAACTATCACTCATTTGACAGACTTGAAAAAAATTCCTAAATATTTTAATAGTAAGTGTTTTTTCAAGTCAATCCAGGCCAGTCACCAGTGTTCCACTGAACAGTTGATATTTAAACATGCTGGATTTTTATTTTGGAATCATGATACTTGTTAATTATCCTACAATGCCGTCATTCCATTAAAACTCATCTGTCAAAAGATTACGTAAGATTTCAAGCCACTTTCCAATAGTGGTTAGAATAATTTGAGTCACAGGCAACTTTGAAGAACTCATCAAAGGTGTAGACCTTCTCTTCAAGGGGAGAAAAGCACACTTTAAGAATTTTGAATAAAATATCAATGTATTCTTTGGCTTCCTGTCATTTTTTTATGGGTGGGTCCTGGGTTAAAGTCTGTGCTATTTCTGCAAGTAGGAATGATTAATTTGGCAAGCAACATTGTGAACGTCATTGCTTCAGTTGGCTAAGTTTGTAGATAACTGAAGAGCTCGAAAATCAGCATCTTATTACAGAAGAGTTGGATTACCAGTGTTTTATTAATTATGTTCACTATCTTGTTTCTTCTGTCACTAGTCTAAAATTCAGAGATCAGAAGGAGTTCATGAAAAGATAATGAGGTCAATCATTAATAACCCAATCAATAAATGGGTCTAGGACATGAGCAGACACTTCTCAGAAGAGGATATTCAATCAATCAACAAATATATGAAAAAATGCTCATCATCTCTAGCATTTAGAGAAATGCAAATCAAAACTGCTCTAAGATATCATCTCACTCCAGTCAGAATGGCAGCTATTATGAAGACAAATAACAACAAGTGTTGGTGAGGATGTGGGAAAAAAGGTACACTCTTACACTGCTGGTGGGACTGCAAATTGGTGCAGCCAATATGGAAAGATTCCTTGGAAATCTGGGAATGGAACCACCATTTGACCCAGCTATCCCACTCCTCTGTCTACACCCAAAGGACTTAAAACCACATACTACAGGGACACAGCCACATCAATGTTTATAGCAGCACAATTCACAATAGCTAAACTGTGGAGCCAACCTAGATGCCCTTCAGTGGATGAATGGATAAAAAAAAATGTGGCATATATATACAATGGAATTCTACTCAGCAATAAAAGAGAATAAAATCATGGCATTTTCAGGTAAATGGATGGTGTTGGAGAAGATAATGCTAAGTGAAGTTAGCCAATCTCAAAAAACAAATGCTTGAATGTTTTCTCTGATATAAGGAGGCTGACTCATAGTGGGGTAGGGACGGGAGGAGCATGGGAGGAATAGATGAACTCTAGGTAGGGAAGAGGGGTGGGAGGGAAAGGGAGGTGGCAGGGGATTAGCAAGGATGGTTGAATGTGATGGACATCATTATACAAAGTACATGTATGAAGACATGAATTGGGGTCAACATATTTTATATGCAAATAGAGGTATGAAAAATTGTTCTATATGTGTAATAAGAATTGTGATGCATTCTGCTGTTATGTATTTAAAAAATAAAACCAATATAAAAATAACATTAAAAATTTTTTTAAAAAAGCATGTTTTTTACTTTTTTCTAATTTTGTGTAAAATGTTGTACAACTATGTTTTATGACCTGTCAATTTTCATTTTGAAGTATATGCTTCTTATATAGCTACATGTACACATGTGTATGTATGTATGTGGATAACACTTTTTTTTTTCCTTTTGAAACTGATTTTCTTCTGAATAGGTCAAACTAGACTTGATTAAACTTTACAACACCCTGTCTAGGACAGACTCCTTTTAAATGCAGTCCCAAGTACAGTATTTACTTCCTAGCACACTTCACAACTAGACTTAAATAACTGAGTAAGGCTTAACAAAGTGATGATCTTGTCTATTTGATGTAAACTTCCAAGGCCAGAAGATTCAGAACCCATCATGATGCATATCACCTGGTGGTCACTAAGTGAAGACTGTTGAATGAAAGAATTAATGAGCAAATGACAATTTCCCAATGTAAATGTTTAAGAGGAAAAGGTGAGGAAAAAACAAGCAATAATACACCCCCCAATTTTAATCCAGCAACCAAATTACTAGCTTCAGCTTGAGTGTTATTTATTTTTCTATCCATGCCCTGATGGCACAGTCCTTTTAGTCTTGGTCATTGATGTTATGGATAATGACCCTACTAGGTTCTTTCAGAATGTTTCCACTGTAAAAGGGAGGAAGGAAACTCACTTGTTCTCCATTTCTGAAATTTGGTTTCAGTGAATCTTTTCAGCTTAATCATCAAATGACCAGATAATTATGTTCACCAATGTAAACCATCACTGGGGAATTCTAATTTATTAAGGTTGGGTTCTAATTAGCAAAAGAAATTTTTAATGCTGAGTCACCTTGACTATCAATCTATTAAGTTAGTAAATGATGAAGTCAGACACCACTACTCCCATTTATCAATGAGATTATTCATCCAATCTGTGGAAAATTCAGAGACTAAATGACTGGAATGTGAAGCGAATTCACTTTACCACATATTTATTGAACATCTACCATTGCAACAGATACATTTCCAGGGTTCCAGTTACAGAAAAAAATGAACACAAGATACTTCATGCCTTTGACAAATTTACACTCTGGCAAGGCAATAAACCATTGTAATACAAAACAGAGTGTAGAAATAGCTTAAGAGAGATAAATTGACCAAAACAATAAATAAATAAAAAAAAGCAAAAAAACACCCTCAGATGCCACATCTATTTGAGTAAATTAAACACAGCCTTGTGGAGGAGGTACCATATTGAGATGAACACTGAAGAATAGGCAGTAGACAAAGAAGTCATTCTACATGCAAAGATGTTCAGGTAGGGAAAACTACTATAGTTGCATAAGAAGAGCAAATGATCCAGTTTAAATGGAGTACTCATGGTGGTATAGCGGAAGGTGAGTTTGGGAAGTACATTTTGCCCATATTATATGTGCAGAGCATTATGTGGATGATAAAGGATTGAGTAGGTAAGACTCTTGAATTGGAGACCAGTATTTGCCATTTAACTTGTCTTTGTTCCAAGATAATACATCCTACCTCTGACCATACATGAAATAAGACATTAGAAATACAAGCTTGGATCAAATTTTGAAAATGACCAGGATTTGGTTTAGTGTAATTTCAGTCTTTTTCGACCTGCCATACAGCTTCCTCCCTCTTCCCATTCTGTTCTTCTCAAAGTTGAACTTATATCTGATCCGATTCTCAATTAGGAGTGGAAGGATAATGACTTGGAGACTGGGGTGCCACGATTAATAGCTCTAAGGACATTCCCAGGTCATCCGGGAGCTCTTAAATGGAAAGGTTTCAGCACTCTATGGAATCATGTTATAATCGCCCCAGATGGGGCAGGGGGATAAATAGATCACCGTGAAGGAACACTGTTATGGGCTTGTCAACTCAAAGATTATGAAATGACATGTCTTCCATCTGGGGCTTCCAGTTGCCATTGGTTACAAGCATAGTCATGCTTTGCCATGTATGTTGTCTTCATGAATTAGAGAAGGGGCATGAGCCACTTAGGATACTATAAAGATAACTAAAAATCAGGAAGTTTGGCATCTGTTTTATTTTAGACTTATATTTGTGTTTTCACATTTGTTAAAAAAAAATAACTGGAAATAGGTACATGAGTTTTAAGAGCCATTTTATCTCCCTAATTTCACATAAGGAGGTATAGATTTCAGAATGTCCCTCCCTGCAGTGCTGAGGCATGGAGAAATCCAACTCAAAAAAATCAAAGGTGGCTCCTCTGAGAGTTCTCTTCACGGTGGCCGTTGAGGGCAGAAGGCCGTGGAGACCTGAGAGTTGCAGATGGGTGACTGACAGGGAGGCTGTGGACCTGTGTCTTCTGTCAGCTCCACAAGGTGGCATTCTGTCAGGAAGATGTTCCTCTGGGCAGGTGGTTCCTGTGAGTGATCCTGGGAGGGCCACCTTTTGCAGGAAGGAGAGATGACGTTCCGAAATGCTGCCCGGAAGCGGCGAGACAGTAGGTTGTAGATAATTGGGTTGACTGCTGAGCTCAGATAGAAGAAGACCCCTGGATTACGGGGGGATTAAAATAAACGTGTCAAGGAGAAACTGAACAGGAGACACGAAAGGGTGAAGCATAAATATTTAACAGAAGCCTGGAATCCCTGGTGTGGCCTCTTTTGGAAGCAATGACATATGCAAGGCTTTAATTGAGAATACAAAATGCTCTGAACAGATCTATCACTTGTGACTTAGGAATCAAACACAGAAAGATTAAAGAGTCTTGGAAACATGTAGGCTGGTACAGGATCTCTGATGAATCTGGAAACTTCCTTTGATCCCTACTTGTTTAATTAAAGAAAAAATGTTCCCATAGCATTAATGAAAAATGTTTAGGTATCAGAGGAAGGAGATTTCTTTTTCCTCACTGGAACTTTGCTTAAATCTATAATTTGAAACCGTAAGTGATGGAGGAATAGAAAAAAAATCAGTCAAGGCATAGTCCCTGCTGAGATTCCTCATCATGCTAAAAAGCTTTTCGAAGAAATATTCTCCCAATCTTTTCTCTACCTTTCCTTTTCCCTTGATGGCTCTTCTGCATTATTGAATAATTGTGTTTTGTCACTTTTTTCTCCATGAGATGCCTTGTACACTATCATTTTCTTGTTTATACTCTCTTCCTTATTACCATGCTCCCTTTTATTTCTCCAAGGCCAAAATGACTCTAAGGCTGGAAATGAGAGGAACTAATTTCCTATTCTGGCCTTGTCTTGATCCATAAATTTAGACAAACCCTGATACATCAATTTCCCCCTACTTTTGTAAAATGGGAAATAAAAATTCCAGCCTAACTCATTTCCTTATATTATTATGAGGATCTAGTTGAGATTCCATCCACAGAAGGGCTGAGACTACACAACCACCCATAGCTACCATGGGCAACATGTTCCTTCTTATCTTCATTAACATAATTTAGGCAGTGAGAGTACCATGTACCATGTGCACGGGATGTGCAGGGAGAATTATGACAGAGACCATTGCTGTTTGCTGTTTGTTCATTCAAGAAAGAAAAAAGTGATTGAACCCTTACTGCATTCTAGGAACTTCAAGGTACATTCTAAAGTAATGAATTAAGAGTTTCTGAGAGGGCTAGGGATGTGGCTCAAGCGGTAGCGCGCTCGCCTGGCATGCATGGGGCGCTGGGTTCGATCGTCAGCACCACATAAAAATAAAATAAAGATGTTGTGTCCATCGGAAACTGAAAAAAAAATATTTAAAAATTCTCTCTCTCTGTCTCTCTTTTAAAAAAAAAGAGTTTCTGAGACTTAGGATAGCGTTGTAGAGGCAAGATCTGCACTAAACTCAATAGTTAACAATACAGCAATTCCAAACAATATCTGCTAAGAGCAAGATACGAGATACTGTCAAACTATGGAAATTCATATAATGGCATAAACTCAAGGACTGTGATGCTCATGAACAAATTAGTGGGACCTGATTGGCTGGTAGCCAGACCTTAAAATGACTGGGAGATAACTGAAGATGGGTTGGGTGGGTTCTGAGGGAAGAAGGCTTGACAGACAAAATGTGAAGAGTTGGGAATGGTTATATTGTGCAGTAATCTTGGTTAATACTCTCTACTAACTAATTTGATCAGAGTATAGTCTACTAATGGAAATGCTATATATTTAGGATGAAAATACTAGTCAGTTTTTTTTTCTGTACCATTAAGCAGTTTAGACTTCATCAGGTTTGCTTTGTGGCAGAGGAGGAGATGGTACCTTGACAGGATAATGTCATCAGGGAAGCCACAGTTTAGAAATTATAAATGGTGACTAGTCAACTAGTCAAGTCTCATGTTGACTTGCCATGTTTTCCAGTTTACTTAGATACTCCCATTCTCCTCATATTTACCACAAGGATAAGCAAAGAGCTGTAAATATTTTTTGCAGTTTTGCCCTGGCTAATTTGTATATGGGAAAACATGAAACTACTAATGCCCGGGTATAAGCTGTTCACAGCCTGCTGAGTACAAAACAGGGGTGACAAAGGAAATAACGCAAACGTTCTTCAGGGTACATGTTATGCTACTGTTTTAGTTCTGTGCACATCTGGAGCTCATCTCATGTATCTATCCTGCTATGTGTTAGATAATCAGAAGACCCCATGGAATCAGACAGTGACTGGCAGAGGAGAGGGGGCAGAAGTGGGGAGAGCCTAAGGCCATCAGCTGCACTGCCGAGTATAAAGGTCCTTGGTGGCAATTCTGCACTATGTTTTAGTGGGAAGAACCTGAGTTTGAAACTCAACAACTGGGGCTTAGCCCTATGTGCACAATCGGCCAGCTAATGCCTTTGGACGAGGTATCTTCCTGTGAGAGTGTTTCTTTGACAAGAAAATGGTTTATGATAATATTCACTTAACAATTTGTGATGATTTCAGAAAGGTAGCATTGACAGCTTAAAAGCTCTGTAATACTCACTGATTTGCTGCCCCTGGTGTAGAGAGCAGATGCTATTGCCATTTGACAGGCAAGATACTTTGGCATGAAGGCAGCTTGGGACTCCAGCCCTCTTTAGCATTTATTAAATGTGGAATTGGGGTGACAAGCCAGGTGCTCTTAGTGACCTTCCACCATGATTTCTCTCATATTCTGAGGTATCCTTGACAAAGAGAGTTACAGTAGTCTAAAATCACATCTTGATGCCCAGGAACATCCTTTGGCGGTTTTCATGAGGCCATAGGAGATGATAGGGTCAAAGCATCTACTAAATAAGACCAAAATCAATCCCATGGCCCCTGGAGGGGAAACCAAAGAAAGCACCCCTATTTCCCTGCTGCAATCCTCACACTTAGAGTCCAGCTATTCCACAAGGCAGCCCTGACAACAGAATGCTGTTTCTTTTGGACCAGCAGTAAGTCTAATTGATCTTTCGATAAATTGAAAGCAAGCGTCTTCACTCTAGGAAGGCACAACCCCATGATATTTTGTTCTGTTTCCGCAGCTAAGCAAGACTGCCTGTAGACCAGCTAAGCCTTTACCTGACACCACATGGATGAGGTTGAACACTGCAGCCAAGGACTCAGTCCACTCCTCCACGAAGCTGAAGAAGAGGCGATCAATGTGGAACGGGGTCCAGCAGATGGCAAATACTACGACCAAAACAACTGGAAAAAGATGATGAATGGGAGAGCAAACGGCAGTGTAGGCAAGGATAGGTGCAGGTTGCTCACCAAGTCATCCATTCCTCTGGCAGTCTTTCCTTCCACCCTGGCTAAGCCATCATGGTTAGGCAATCTAGATCCCAAGGAGCCTCAATGCAGAATGTTCAAATGTAAGAATGAATTGTATTGAATCTAGGATCTGCTTTCTAAATACCCAGAGAAGATTTCTTATATAATGTGAGTTTCCCTTTAGAATATTTGAAATAGTTCTAAATTCATTTCAAAGTTTAAAAAGCATTTTATTGTGAAGTATAAAGTATGCTGCAGGTAGACTATTGGAGTCATATAAATGTGTTACATAAATAAATTATTGTGCTTAAGCAGTTGGTGTTCTTTTAAATCCATGGAGTAATAACAAACTTAAAAATATATATGGATTCATCTTATTAATCTAGAAATAATTAGAAGGTTCTCTGAATTTGATCATTTAAAATCCAGTGATGTGTTCAGGGAGAAGAGGGAGAAAGATTGAACAATCCCAAGTGAATATCACTTTATGAGCATCTTTTGATTGGGAGGGGATGAATCCGTATTATAAATTGCTAGAGCACAGAATCCTCCCAATTTCTTATTTTCAACCCTCCAGACAGAGATTGGCACAACTATAGTTTCTCTTTGGGGTGTTTTAACTTCACAAAGATAAATATGCATATTTTTTTCTCTTATGAAGTTAGGGAATATATTTTCTTTGCTGAGATATGCTGCTTGGGATTTGTCTCTAAGTAATCTAACAGGGACTGGGGGAGAGATCAGAGTACAGATGAGACAATGTTAGCTAGGAGTTGGTAATTTCTAGAGCTGAGTGATGGCACATGGCATTCATTTTACAGTGCTCTGTACTTGTGAGCACTTTTAAAGTTGTCATAGTAAATAGCCTGGGTATTTCTTGCTGGCAAGAAACCCACTCAGAGTAAGTCATCTGCCTTGCTGTGGTTTCAGGGATATGGAAACTCCTGAGCTTATCCCCCAAGTAGAGGCCCTCAATCTGCTTGTTTCTGTCTCCCGACTAGAAACAAATTTATTACTTGATAAAATGAACCCTCTCCCAAGGTAAATACCTCACTGTGACTTTAATGTGAGTGACCTTTACACATTAGTGAGTGAATAGATTATGATCAAAGAGATTATGAAGACTGTAGGACTCTTAATAGCAAAAAAGAAAAAAAAATCAAGAGCTTATATTAGGAGCAAAAAGATTCCCCAGGACAGGATTATCAGAATCAAAAGGTCAATATCAGTGACTTTTCAGTTATTTGAATGCCAGTTACCTTGAATGCCTTATATGGGTATTGGCCCTGAGAAATTACTTCTTTCTAATCTTGAGTTTTGATTTGGAAACTATATGATAAATCTTTCCCTTTTCAGTAATTCTTGTAGGCTAGCAATGAATTATATATTTTTATAACATTCTTTTGAGAGTATGATTTTTAAAATTTTTAGCTACAAAAAAAGAACATGGTTAGACAAAAGTTATAGAATATCATAGGTGGGATGCCTACTTGGAGGTGCTCCTGGGCCAATGTTCTTAATTTGGAATTAAAAGACCATAAGGAGTTCATGCGTGGGCATCAGGGGGTTCATGATACCCTGAAATGGATTATAAAACATTTTGTAGGAGAGGGGTGATAGTAGAGGATAGGAAAGGCAGCAGAATACAACAGACACTAGTATGGCAATATGTAAATCAATGGATGTGTAACTGATGTGATTCTGCAATCTGTATATGGGGTAAAAATGGGAGCTCATAACCCACTTGAATCAAATTGTGAAATATGATATATCAAGAACTATGTAATGTTTTGAACAGCCAACAATAAAAAATTTAAAAAAAAAACAACATTTTGTGTGTATGCTCATTAGTACACTTTTGAAGTAGAGTCTAGAGCTTTTATCATGTGTATAGTGAAACTCATTAACACAAACAGTAGAAACACCAACCAATTTTGCAGAGGAGGGAAATGATGCTCAAAGGCTCAAGAGAGGATGCAATTTACCACGGATCACGTGGAGTGTGTTGCCGTGAAGGTGATTTAGCATGTCCTTCTGAAGGTTCAGAACCAAAAGGAAAACATCCAGATGTGTCCCAGAAGCTTGAGTGATCCAAGAAAGTTTGACCTGCTGTTATAGTTCAGGGCAGTTTTGAGCCTGAAGCCAGCAGTGTTTCCTAAGAACCAAATGCAAATCCTTTGCTTTTGCAAACAAAAGAAAACAAAGCACAAAAACAAAGTGGGACTTACACAGCATCTTGGTCACTGATTTTCTGGAAGGTCTGTGGATATTAGCAGTCACTTCATCTGCCTCAAGGGATTCATCTTTCTTCAGCTGAAGAAGAGATGGAAAGAGATGTTAAGAAAGGGAAGCATTTTTATTTTCTTCCTTTGAAGATCTGAGATGTATAACTCGAATACTCATTTTGAAGACAAACAAACAAAAAACACAAAAAACCCCATCACCACCCAAAATAAATAAATAAATAAACAAACAAAAAGTGCAGCCAAAAAGACAGAAATGAAATGGATTATAAAACATTATATATACTCCCAGGACTTAGAAAACTATAAGAATATGTTAAATATTTAACAGTAAGCTTGGGATTTGTCTCTAAGTAATCTAACAGTAATTGGATCCAGGTCTCTTCACTCAACTGGATAGTTGATTAAGGCCAAATTTTCCCTACAAGCATTTTTGATGTGCAAGAACCCTAGATATGAAGTACGGTTATAGGTGTTTTGTGAAAAGTGTTAGATTCTGAAGTTAAAAATATATATATATATAATCTAGGCTCTTTCATTCACTTATTTATTCAGCCATTTATTCATTCAATAATTGTTAGATATCTATCAGAGTGAAGTTCCTCTGCAGGTGGCAGCCAGGCAGTAGAAACAAGGGCAAGCACTCTTCCTGCTTTATGAAGGTTATAGGTTCCATTGTGGGTCTTCTCAGAGTCCTTGATATGCTAACAGGCATTAGGATTCTCAAGGGGGATGGGGTACCATCCCTCTCCACTTTCCACACCCACATCTCCCATCTCGTCCCAGGTCCCAGCCAAAGGGAAATAATATTTCTTTGACTAAACACCTTCCCCAAACTCTCTTCAGTGAAGTCCCTTGTCCCATCTTCACATGCACAATTTGGAAAATGCTATTTTACTAACACTACTGATAAAAATGCATGCCTTCCTGAATTGATGTTAAAATATATTCATCTATTTAGACTCTGAAACCTCTGAAGTTTTCAACACTGCTTGTACACGCATACTTGCTCGATTAGTTCAAATCCCGTCTATTCCTGGTAACGTTAGTCCATTGTCCTCTTCTTCCTCTAAATTCCCCTAGCATTGAATGTCTTTATAATTTATCTAGTTGTTAAATATTTTTCTTTCTAATTTATATCTACCTTGGTTTGTAGGGATGTCCAATCGGACAAATGAAATTTTAAGGATCCATGATAAATGACCATCAGATATCTGGAGGTTAGTACAGTATCCATCTGCCTGTTGGTTGGCATTTATTTCCTTTTTCTCTTACTAATAATACCCTAACTTTCTCTTAGGCAATTTACTCCTTGCCTATACCTAGTCATTAGTTTGGCTGGGAATGACCCCAAATGTAGCTCCTGGTATTGTCCTAAAATTACTTATTCAATCAGACCTCCTATCCTACAGTCATGATGACTTGAAAATTGGAGTCAATGAGATTTCAACTGTTGGCTAGCACTTCTAGGGAAGGGAATTCAATTTCTTTTTATGAGGACTGCCAGAGGGAGCTCTTCGTCTCTGAATGTGAGGTCTGGGATTATAACAGTTACCTTTTTTTCCCACATTGAAAAGAGAGCCTGGAGCAACCAGTGGACCACCACATGGAGTTTAAGATTAAAATCAATGCCATAGAAAGAAGAGAAAAGAAAGAGAAACAAACCAGGTCTTTGATGTTGTGTGTTTTACTGGATTTGTCTTTGCCAGGAGCCAGTGCCACATCTGGACTTTTTAGATCTCTGGCTCCTTGGTGTTTTGCCGGACTGTGTAGAGGGTTCCCTCACTGTAATAAGGCAGTCCTGGCTGGTTGAATAAGGGCCATCTTGTGGAAGAAAATTTCAAATTATTCTATATAGTCCAATACTAGTATTTATTTCCTTTCTCTCTACTAAGGGTGCCCTTTAGCCCTTCTTATATCAGGATCAATCTGACTTCCAACAAGATAGATTGAAATTCAAGGTAAATTAGAAGTTAGTGTGATTATGTGCGACAAAGTAACATACTGCTCTAAGAAGCAATGAGCTTCCTGAGCTAGAAGGCATTTCAAAGGAATATTTTAGAAGAAGTATTTAAAATGAGATAAGACCTGGAATTGTGGATCATTAAAAATTGCCTCTAAGGTTCAACAAATCGATAGTCTGCATCCCTAACAAATGTATCAGCTGCTGGAAGTTGGGTAGCTCTCAGGACGCTTGGGCCTGAGCATTTGCCTATATGGCTAATAGGTGTGGCCATCTGTCTTGTGATTATGCTGGGGCTCTATGCATGTGCCTATGTTTTCATAAAATGAGGGACTGAACCCTTTGGAATCACCTAGAACTTGAAAAGAAACAAGAGAGTTGCAGGTGCAGCCATTTAGGAATAGAAGAGGAAATGGAAGGTGGTGGGATGGGATGTTTTTAATACACTAGTAAAATAAGGCTGGCACAGTGTGTATCTCAGTGCCTGGCATGTGATACTTAGCAAAGTGACACATAATGGCTGTTATTGTGATTCAGGTGGCTGTTCCAAGTCCACTCATGGGATGCAATGAAAACTGAATTTATTTTGAGTGGAGTTACTTATTTACATTAGAATGAAGTGGATTACTGACTTCCTTCTTGAAATCCTCTCTATCTTGCTACCACTTGCTCAAAAAAAAAAAAAAAAATAATGCTTTCCTGATACAAAGCAGCAGCCAGATGCACTGAGGAGGAAAACATGAGCAAGGGGAGCCACACACCAGCCCATACACTTTATCAGTACATGGTCAGTCAAATCTACTGAAGGTTTTAATTATTTCCTGCCCTTGAAAATTACTTATTATGAGATATGCTTCTTTCATTACTTAATTTCAGTCCATAATTAAGAATAATGAAAGGATGTTGAGATCTATTAGTCACTTCTTGCTTGGCTTTAACAAGTCTCAGTGGAAATACGTCCACCCCCAGGGATAATTTCCTTAAATCAAACATCAAGAAAATAGTCAAAACAGTTTTTTTTTTCCCTGAACAGGCCTCCCATACAAGTGTAGTTTTCAGTGAAAGAAAAATCATGTGCCGATTAATTGCTACTTACTTTGCATCTTCCTTAGGCTATAATGACATAGCTAACTAATTGGAGGAAAAGTGAAAAAACAAATTTTTATGCATGTCGTTCATCGTTCCAACAGAATTGATGTGGTTGACAGAATAGAATCCAAACAATTTGTCTAACCAATATTAAATGCTACTTTATTATTGAATAATTCATTTCCTTGTAGATGTTAACAAAGTAGATATTCTTTATAATCATTAACAATTTCTGCTTTATTTCAAAGTTTTATTTCAAAGCTCAGCAAAAAGAGGAATAAAAAAAGTTGTGGTCACTGTAATAAGATGTTCCAGAGCTTTCCTGCCCCACTCCCTCCAACTATAGAGTATCCAAGTGGAGGGCGGTTCATGGACTCAATTATCCTTCAGGTTGACATTTTGTCCTGATTAGTTGTTTACAGTGATTAAAAGCATCCAACCACATGGCCCCATGTATAGTTTCTGGAGATGTGGCTTCAGAATAACAAGATAGAATAGATTTTGTGTATATCTCTGTAATCTTCACAAAATCTATTTACCAAACATTGACTGGTGAGTGTGTGTCTGTGTATGAGCATGTCTGTCATCTGTGTATGTATGAGCACAACCCTGTTTGGCATGGTTGGATTCTGCTGCAGTCCATACCTGCATCCTTTCAGTGCTAACACTAAAGTGGCTTGTAGGAAACACAAGAATGAGATCAGCCTCATCACACCCTCTCCTAGGTGGGAAGGGACTTGCCTTGGCATTGTCTGCCTTCTGTACCTATAACATGTGCCCCTGGAGAGAGCTCTGTGGAGGATCAATCCCTGGAATGATGCGTCATTGCTGAGTGCTTCATCTGAGCACACAAGGCTCCCCTCTTCCTCCCTGGGCCTGTGATGTCGTCAGTTCTGGGCTTGCTGCCTCTGGGAGGCTAGGGCATCCAGAGTTGTTTACACCTTTAAACTTGCCAAGAGGGTCAATAACTTAACTATCTTTAGGATTGCTTGGGTCTCTTTAAATCTCAGAGATCAAAAAATGCCCTTTGAGACAAATGTTTCCAAGTCTTTCCTTTTAAAGGTACAGAAGTTAAAAGTCTAGTAAGAGAGAAGTCATTTAGTCCTCATGCACTCACTGAGCTCCTGGGAGAAATAAGTTAATTAAGGAATTCTACAAGTATGGAATTATAAATTGTAATGAAGGAAAATTACTAAAAGCCATGAGCACCTACAATAGGGACCTGATATAACTAGGGGATCTGGAGAGCTTTTTTAAGGAAGTGTGACTAAGTATGACTTAGAGGATAACTGAGAGTTAAGAAAGACAATGGAGTTGTAGTGGTGGGCAGCAGGGACATTTCAAGCAAAAAGTATAAAATCTCTCAAACCATTGCCACAGAATATGGCTGACTTTCCAAGCTTCCAGTCTACAGGTGTTTACATTACTGTAGGAATGACTTTTATAGATTTCCTGGTATCCTCTAGTACCCTGGACGATGCCTCATCTTTTCTGAGAATAAGATGTCATTAAGTTGCATTACTCAGAGTAAGCAAACTTAGGTGGTTTCTAACCTCTTTCTGAGCTGTCACTCAGTTCCTGATGCAACCTAGCTGTAGATTCATGACAGTGAAACAAAAATGTAACAAAAACAAAAATGTAACTGGCAATGTTTCCTATTCGAATTTAAATATTTTCCCCAAATGGAGCCAAGATAAGTGATTGTTTGGTGTTGGGCGAGATGATATTTATTAGTTTTGGGTGTGGATTTCTCACGGGACTTATGATACTTGGTAATGTGTGTCGTCTCTTCTTCCTAATAAAATTGATGCAAAAGGCATTCACAGACATGGCTTTGAACTGCTTTTGGGGTAACATATGAATAAATGCCAGAACTCAAGGGAAAAGTAGCACAGCTCTCTGCATGTTTAGATATACTCCAGTGCTCATATGTCTGTGACACTTAAAATTTGTTCTTCTTCATTAGACCTTGATAGTCATCTTAGGGAAAATAGGTACTCCAAAGGTTGCCCCATGGGACACTCAGTTTTGAGTGTCCTTTCTCAGAGATGGACTGAGATGGAAGGACCCTGATTATTACATAATGTAGACTGTCAAAGCCCTCTTGAAGCACATTTTGTGAGTGAATTCTTTTCATTTCTCCTTTCATTTGTAATTCACGTTTTGTTCCCCTCACAGTTTTATTTTTCTCTCTTTAAAAAGAATCACAGACCTTTAAAGCTAGAAGGAGCCTTAGACATGATCTGATGTGGCTTTTCCATTTTATGAATGGAGAAGTCACTCCAGGAGAACTATGTGGCTTGCCTAAAGGCAATTTCTATGTCAGCTGAAGACCTGGGAGTCTAAATGGCTTTAGAACTGTTACACAAGCTACCCTCTTACACGAGTGTAGAGGTGTCACAGTTAAGACTTGTACCTCTATGAACTTGGCACAGGATATACTAGGAATTTTACAGACTCATTTCTTCCCTTGTCAAATATGATTTCTCCCAGATAATTTAGTGCCACAGAAAATAAAAGATTTTAAAAAGGACACCACTTTACCAACATGAGCAAAGGAAGGTAACTTCTAGTTTTAAGATATGTTGCAAACTAAGTGCTGCTTTATCTTAATCCCAGAGATCTCTTAACTTTCTTCTGCTCTATCTCATGTGTCTGTTGACCTCCCTACCTGTCAATCCCTACTTGCTCAAGAGGAGACCAAGCTGGTATCACTCAGCTCATGATATATAAATCAATATTTATTTATATGTATGTATCTATTTATATGCATATATATATATATATATATATGCATTATATATATATTCATATGCATATATATATAACTTTAATTTGATTACAAGCATAAAGAAGCCACAAGAAAGTATTTGACTTTAAAAAGTATGTCTCTCTTGGACTATAAAATAGGGATAGTTTGTATCTTACTGAGATCAAGTTAGTACAGAGGAAAATGTCCACATAAGCATTAGATGTGGGGACAGGAAAGAGACAGTAGAGTGTGGAAGGGTGCTTCAAAGTGTGTCCACCAAGCCCAGATGACCTAATGTGTTAATTTAAAGTGAAGCTCCTTGTCAGACCTCCTAAAGCAGATTTTCCCATGGGTAAAGTGTGCATATTGGGACCCGTAGTAAGTTTTTGAGCTGATTCTTAGAAACACTAAGACATGAGAAAAAAAAAAAGTCTAGAGGAAAGAATAATGCAAGATAAGCTAAAGGAAATGACATATAGTTGTGTTTTGGGGGCATATTTTTTAACTTCTTATTTTCCATCTGAACTCATCCTATTTTCCTCTATGCTCCCTTCCAATTCTGACGTTCTCAAATTGTTAAGTTTGTCTCTGAACTTTGAGGCAGTGAAAATGAAGCAATGCTGCCCTGACCAGTTATCCTGGCTACTCACCCTGAGCCCCATCAGGTAGTAGAGGACACTGATGAGCGTCATGGGGAGGACGTAGAAGAGGAAGGAGGTGACCTGGATGATGAAATTGTAGATCCACATGGGCTTGATGACTGTACAGGTGGCAGAGCCAGGAACCGAGGTCCCATTGGGGAAATAGTGGAGCTTGATGCCATGGATGCTGGTGTTGGGCAGAGAGAAGATGAGGGAGAAACCCCAGACGATGCCCAGGATCCTGAGGGCCCTCCGGCGGGTGCTCTCCAGTTTAGCACGGAAGGGGTGGAGGATGGCCACATAGCGCTCCACGCTGACCGTAGTCACGCTGAGGATGGAGGCGAAACACACGGTCTCAAAGAGGGCAGTCTTAAAGTAGCAGCCCACAGGCCCGAATAGGAAGGGGTAGTTGCGCCACATCTCGTAGACTTCCAGGGGCATTCCCAGGAGCAGGACCAGGAGATCAGACACAGCCAAGCTGAACAGGTAGTAATTGGTGGGTGTCTTCATTGTCTGGTGCCGGAGAATCACCAAGCACACCAGAAGATTGCCCACCACCCCCACCACAAAAATCATAGCATACACCACAGACACCGGGAGGAAGAGGTGGCTGCGGGGAGGCCCGCACAGGTAGGCCAGGTAGTCCTCGGTGCTGTTCAAGTACTTCTTGAGTGGATCTTCCAATTCCTGCTGGTGGATCCAGGAAGCATTTTTAAGTTTTTCCATCATTGACATTAAATCCCAGACCCCAGAGTCCCCTGGTATGTGGCTCAATCCCCAGCTGAGCCAGACAGGGAAGAGGAAGCAGTTCAGAGGCACAGGCTCAGTGAAGAAGGCTGTGAGAGAGTGAGTGCTTCAGCCTCCAGTTTGGGCTGCTCTCACTATGAGTCTTTTTGAAGAGCCCCTGAGACAGAAGCCCCGCCCCTCCACAGGCTGTGGGCCAATGAGCCTGTGTCAGACTGCACTGCTTGAGAGGACAGCTGGCTTTGTGTGCAGGGAGCAGCGGGGAGGAGGAGACCTTTCTGAGAATTGGAAGAAGCTGGGAAAATAGCTTACACAGACTGAGACACTGAAACAAGAATAAAGAGTGGGCAGGCAGTCCCAGCAGAGCAGGTTGCAAGACTGTGGGAAATACAAATGCAAGTTCCCCAGTCCCGGGGAACAGAATACGGATCTCCAGTGATCCTTGTCATTTGTACAACAAGACAAAAATGGGAGATCGATAGATTTCTCAAGTTACCTTGTTGCATTGGACAGTCCTGGCTCTCTGGGGAAAGCATGATCAATGTGGCATTGGTTTTGATTACATGCACAATAGAATCCCAAGCCTATAAAGACATTGACCTGTCCTCTAGACCTGCATGCTACCTGACATTTCTATCACTTTTGCCTGCTCAAAAAAGCAACTGGGTTTCAGAATCAGACACAATCATTGAGATTTAGGATGGCTGGGAGATCTACACTCCCAGTGCTCACTTCTTTGTCTGCATCATTAATTTTATTTTGTTTAACAAATATTCCCAGAGAATTCATTTTGTGCCAGGCACCGTTCTAGACTTTGGGGAAATATTAGTAAACAAGAAATGCAGGTCTCTGCCTTCATGAGGCTTTTTTTTTTTTTTTTTTTTTTTGAGTTGGGAATTCTGAAAGTATACTAGTGAACTAATAAATTAATAATATGATTTGAGATTTAAAAAAATCCATAGTTTTCAAGGATGGCCAAAGAAGGCTTATTTCAGGATATGTCATTTGGGCTGAACTCTGAATCATAATGTCAGCCACAAAACAGCTAAGGAAGTGTATTCCCAGTCAAACCAACAGCAAGTGCAAAGGTCGTGATTCAGAAAGAAGCCATGTTTCAGGAACTTCATGAGTGGTCAGGAGAGTATGATCAGATTGACATGACTGGCAGGTACCAGCTTGTGTAAACTCTTATAGAGTATCATAAAAAGTTTGAATCTATTCAAACTGAAGTTTCTTTGAATCTAAATCAAGCTACAGGGAGAATTCTTTGGAGGAGTTTGAATAGGAGAATTAAATAAGGAGAGGCTGGTGAGAGATAGTGGATTAGATTACCACGAAAGCAGCGAAGCTGAGAGATGTCTTCGGATTTAGGCTATTTGCTTTTTTTAAACAAGGGACCGTACATTGTCTGTTTTTTTTTTTTTTTAAATTGCATATGTCAAAGCCCCTTGAACTTAGGAGATACTCACTAAATGTTATTTCTCCTTTCCTTTTATTTGCTAAATTGGATGATGAAACTTAAAGATGACTTGTTGAAGAATAATAGGTCAAGATGGGATGGTTTACTTACTGTAATAAATTATCACCCTATCTCAGTGGTTTAAAACAAGACTTATTTTTTTACTTACACTACAAATCAATCAAGTGTCAGCTGGAACACATTTTGATATTTACCTGAGCTCTTGGTTACATGCCCTCAGAATCCTGGCTATTGCAGTGGTCACTATCTGGAATTTTGCTGGTCCTTGTGCAGAGGGTAAGGCAGATTTAGAAGCCCTACCTAGGTAATTGCATGCCTAAGGCCAAAGGATAGAAACATATGTTGCTTTTGCTCACAGTCTATGAACCAGGGCTGGTCATATGTAGTGACTAAACCACAACAGGGGCAGGAGGTGCCATCTTATCACATGCACAGAAATCAGAGACAGGAAAATTTGTTGAATAGCACTAAGTGACCACAGATATAGAAAAGCCAGTATAGAATCAGAACTAGAGCCCTTATATTAATGATATGTTTGATGTTAAAGCCACTATTTACAACTTTGAATGTATATTTAAAAAATATTTATTTTTTAGTTATAGGTGTACACAGTATCTTTATTTTTATGTGGTGCTGAGGATTGAACCCAGTACCTCACGCATGGTAGGCGAGTGATCTGCCTCTGGGCCACAACCCCAGCTCTTGAATGTATATTTCTGATGAAACAGAAAAAAGTTTAAATCTGAGATGAAGAATTCCAATTAAGACATAAGGAATTAAAATCAAAAATAATTATGAGGGTAGATAACAGCAGATTTCAAACATGGGATTGTGGAAGGGACTTCATAATACATAGAGCCACAGATTAAAGATTGAAAGACATCTTCACATGATGATGTGGAGGAGCTAATAAGTAGAAGGATGTTTAATAAGGGATAAAGTAACAGTTTCAGTGCCTGGAGATGATGTGGGAAGAGACTAAGACATGGACTCTTGGGTAGCCTTGGGCTTTGAATCCTGGCTCTGCCTCCTCCTAGGTGTGTGACTATAAGAATCATATTTCATATCTGCGAGTCTCAGTTACTCCATCAACTAAATGAGTAAAATAAGTTTTGTTTTATAGGCTTGCTAGAAGAGGTTATACATTCAATATAAGTAATGTGTAATGGTATATTATGTTAAATCAGTAATGTGATATTAATGATGATAAATGAATATTGAGAATGTTTTTATTGAGGTAAAAACAATTATTACATGATTTAAAAATTGGGAGTGTGCTTGGAATGGTTAAGGACCTCCCAGTTTTGATTAACATTTGAACAAGAATGCCAGTCAGAGAAGCTGCTAAGGAAGTCCGTGGACCTCCACCCCCGGATCCCCAGAGGCTGGACCTGCAACCCCTATGTGCAGCTGGTGAGGACAAGGTGGTCAACACCCTGTAGGGAATGTGGGGTGCAGGTGGTGGTGTTTTCCCTGAAGAATTCTTAGGGGGAGAGGAGTATGAGGTCACTTCCAACCCTTGACAGTAGATTTGAATTAACACTGAGGCTGCAGGGGGACTCGTGTGTGACAAGTCTCAGGGAGCAGCAACAGGGAGTCAGTGCTACTGGGATTTCCTGATAATATAGCAGAGAACCTCTTGGAATTGTTCATCTTGACCCGAAGCTGGAGTATTCACCTATTGATTTCTGTCCCCTGTTGATTGAAGGTTGTTCCTGGGGGCAGTAACTCTGCTAAGTACCTGAACTGTTTTTGATCATCTAGAGAAAGTTATGGGTAGAAAAATAGAAATGCAGCATGAAGTGATGCGCACGCTTATCAGTACTAGTGAGTCTGAGCTTGCACAGGACTGCCCTTTGTAACTATGGCTGAGATAGGGGACGAGAGGATATGATATGAGAATTTCAGTAGCATCTACTACATCTATCAAATAAAGGAATATATTAGTTATGGTGGTTGAGTGCTTGTTTGCTCAGGTACCACTGTAAGATTCTCATATGTATTAGTACATGTGATCTTTACAGTATCACCCATGAGGTAGGCTCTTTTTTATTCCTGCCATTACAAGTAAGGAGTTTGATGCACACAAAGCTATGGGGCTTGCTGATGCTCAGGTGATGTGTCAGTTATTTTCTTCAGGTTAGGTCTCACAAAAAAAATGCACAAGTTACAGTGGGTTAACATAAGCAGAGTGGTGGTTCCTTGCTCATTTTACATGTTCAACAAGGATTGCCTGGTAGCAATCCTCTAGATCCAGTAGATTGTGGGGATTGGCTATAGAGCAATTCTCTATTGCTCACATATTGGAACGTAGGTGCCAACATGTATTTTCATAAATCCTAAGACAGGATTCCTATAGGGATTCTGACTCCTAAATTTTCTGCATGGAGATGACTTACTTCTATTTTGTTCACATTTCATGGGCTAAATCAATTTATATAGCCATTCCTGATCCTAAACAGTGTTGTTTGAAGAGCCATCTTATCACCTGCTTGACAGGAGAAAACCAAAACACCTTGCTAAATGGAATTCATGATTACACCTTCTACTCCTCTGGATGCAACATTCATAAGCAAAATTTAGCTTAAATTTTTTCTTGCAGGCCAAATAACTTTCTCCCTGATGCACTGGAGACACTGTAACATTCTACCTAGTTACTTCTGTGATTTAAAACTCCAGGATCTCTGGGTGGCACAAGCTTTTCTCTACGACAGAAAAGAGAGCAGCATTTTCTCCACCAGTTCCGCATGTGGGTCCTCTTGTTGCAGAGACCTATAAATTCAAAGGACAAGTTATCAGCTTCCCAGGTGGACACTTCCGGCCGTTAATAACAGTTCTCTGGTTGCTCAACATCTGACCTCTAGACTAATGCCATGTATTTTTAGAACCTTTTTTATGGCAATCCTCTATTTCCATTTCGTTTTGACTCAGTAAATTGGAATAGATTTTCCTGAAGTAACAGTCAACTACCAACTTGCAGAACAGTAATAACACTGCTGGGAGACTGTGGAAGTGTTGGTTCCTCACTCCCATCTTTCTGAGGAATTCCTCTCCATACCGTTCTATTCAATGAGCAATTACTCAATAAATGGATCATAAATGGAGAGATGTAATAGCAATTAGCTTGGCTATAAAGCAACCACATTTGTGGGAGGCATGATAAGAAAAATCATTACCACATACAAGAAAGTGTTTATTTTATAGATTGTGAACATATTTTTCAGAGAACTCTGGAAATAGAACCTTAGTTCAAAGGCATAGCGTTCCCAGTTCTCAACTCTGGAGGGTGGGAAATGCTCAAGTAACCTTGGTAACATCAGTGAGAGTAGTGTATCCAGAATAAGGAGGGCTTTCTTCAGTTCTGTCATGCACAAGTTAGGCCAGACCAAGGGTAGTAGCTCCGTTTTTGAGTTCTGCACTTAGAGAAGGTTGTGGTAAAGGTGGCATAATCCAGTGAGGATTCCTGGGATGGTAGATGGAGTTGGAGTCATTTATCCTAATACAGAGAAAACTTGGGTTAGACATATTTT